CACACACACACACACACACACACACACACACACACACACACACACACTTCCACCTTGCTCCAACTCACCAGATCATTCCTTCAAACAAGTTGTGGATAATAAGATGGGACTGGGTCACAACAATAAGCAGAGTCACATGAGTCCAACCAAACTGTAGGAAAGAGAAAAAAAAAATCGTCCTTGACTCCAGTCCATCTCTAAAGCCATTTCAGAGAGCAGCCTTAGGTAGAAAGCTGTGGTGAACTATGAATAGAAGAAATGCCTCATCCTGCCCCTTTCTACTCCTTTTGGGAGAGAGGCACATAATCTGTACCTTTGAGCTCTTATTCATGATGTTGCTCACCTTCCACACTTCCTCTCATCTTAATTTCCCTTCAAGACAACTGAGATTAGCAATGTGGCCAAACAAGTGAAGACCTGTGCTCTGTGGGCTCCTTGAAAGTGGGGTCTATTTTTTGTTTTTCTTTGTATCAACAGCACTTAGCACAGTGCCTCGCACACAGTAGGTGCTTTAAAAAATTCTTGCCAATTGATGACTGATTCTATAAAAAATTCAGAGCTAGATTTGAGTTCCCTAGACTTTAACCAGGGAATGAAATCTGAGTTTTCTAGTGGCAGGGCCAAAACTAGAACCCAGGTTTCCTAATTTCGAGTTCAGTGCTCTTTCCATCATATTATGCCAGCATTCTAATACTGAGTAAGAGTTCACAAATCATTATTTCAGAATCATGGGATCCAAAAGCAGAAAGGAACTTTAGAGTCACCTAATCCAACTCCTTAACCTAAGGTCCTGTGAAGGACATTTCAAAAAAAGCTAAGACACTGTCCCTGGCCTTTAGGAACTGAAAGCATGGGTAGAGACTAATCCTAATAATTCATACTTGAGTTGTGCTTCATTCAAGATTTACAAAAATATTTTCCTTAAAAAACAACCATGACTGAAAAAAGTACAAGTATTATTATCATCCTCTTACAGATGGGATACAAGGCTTACAACAGGGAAATAATTTCCCCAATGTCACACAATTATTAAGTAGCAGAACCAGAATTCACAAAAAGTTGTATTTTCGAGAAAAGGCCTAACACTTCCTGAATTACCGAGTTGTCAATCTACAAGAATAGGAGGGGAAAGATTCTTGTAATGAAATGACTTGCTCAAATCACTCAGAAAGGTGTCAAGAGATATGTCCTACATACTATACTAAGAAATGGCATCTTATTGAAGAGACTGAGCAGCTCTAAGTAGTCTAGATTTATAAGACACTCCCCCATCATGCATCTGTTCCAAATGCCCTGGGAATGGAGAAGGAGTCCATATGGACACTGTGTTGCCTTACAGTGAAAGACAGGAAAAACTGGCTGAATTTCCCCACTGGAATCCCATTTAAGCTAAGAGCACTCAAGCTGCCTCTTCCCACTTGCCCCTCTCCCCGCTGAAGTTCATCATTTCCTCTTACCATATAGAACTGGAGTCGATAATGCTTCTTAACAAGACTCAGTACAAACATGCAGAACCCTAGATGGAAATAAGTAAAACAGACAAAGATAGGGATGAGTCACTTCCTAGACTCATCTCTTTTTTCTTATTTCCATTATCAGTGCTTATTGGCCCTTTGGCTAAATTCCTGGCAACATTTCAAGGCTTAGTTACAAAGGCCAGAGAAGCAAAAATAGCATTACCACTAATGTTTCTACCAATCTATCAGTCACATGACTGCTCTTTTCAGCAGCTTTCCCCTTAGAAAGATGTTTATGCTGCAACACAAGACTGAGCTGTTGCTATTGGTGTTATGGATGCTGGCTTTATCCTCTCTTCTGGACAAGCAGCTGAGGTAAAATTCCACGGTCAAGCTTCATCAAATATGTGCATACTTACATATATGTACATGTTCTTTATACATACAGAAATGTACATATTCACTTATTGTGTATTTATACACTTACACCTTTATAGTTACAAGGAAACTTTGAGTCCAACCCTTTCATTTTATGCATGAAGAAACAGGCCCAAACTTTCAAAAAATTAATATTATATGAAATAATTCCTGTTAATAATTGTAAATAACTCATTTGTAAAGTATTACTAAAGTTTACAAAGCAATTTCTCACAATGAATCTTTCAGAAAAGCAGTATAAATATAATCCTATTTTAAACATAGGGAAACTGAGATAAAGAGAGGTTATGTGATTTGCCCATGGTCATTCAACTACTGAATTTCAAAAGTCAAATCAAAATCCAGATTTCCTGAATCCTGGTACCAAACTCTTTCTACTACACCATGCTGCCAGACTGCATTATTTCTATTCAACAGGCTCTGCAAATGACAAAAACATGACGACTAGTGAAGTGACTAATAATTAATTACCTGTTAGGTAAAGAGCAAAGGAAATGAAGCGATGATATTTACTGAGAATCCTCAAAGGCTCCTCTCTCTGGACCAGAGTGAAGAAGTAATCAGTCACTGTTTCACCATAGAAAAAATAATTCACACACAGTAGAAAGTACCTGCAAACAAAGAAAAGTTGCTTTCCATGGAAAAAGAAGGACCCACAACATGCTCCTTGAACTTAAGCAATCAGACAATGCCGCAGGAAGGTGTTCAACTGATGTCCCACCCTTTCTGTTCTCTGGCTTCCTGTTCATGGGGTACGGGGAAAACTGTGCCTTTCAACTTCCTAGAGTCTTCCTAGGCTTTTCAGTTGGGAATATTCCTTAGCAATTCTATTCACTCAATTATTCTTCAATTACTACCTCTATGCAAATAAATACTAATTATTATACAAATGATTTCCAAATCTAGCTCTTCAGTCCCACCTGACCTCCCTTCTAAACTCTAGAACTACAGCTCCAATTGCCTCCAAGATATCACCAAACCTTCAAACTCAACAGATCCCAAATTTTAATCACTTTTCCTTAAAAAACTTCTCTTCCTTATGATTTCAGTATTTCTGGTTATGATACCACTATTCATCTAGTTGCCTATATCCAGAACCATTAGTTATCTTTTACTCCTTTCCCTCATCTTTCTTATCCATCAATTACTAAAAATCCTGTCAATTCTTCCCCAAATCCATATATTTCCTCCTTTCTATTTTCACTACTATCACTGTGGTACAGGCCCTCCTTACCACTCACCTAGATTATTGCAATAAACCTCCTCATAAGTCTTCTTGTCCCTATTCTTTCCTCTAATCCACCCTTCATACCACTGTCAAACTAATCTTTCTTAAGACTATATCTAGTCATCTAACTCTGCCCAAGATTCTTCAGTGGACATTTCCTGCCGGCTGAGCAATATTGAAACTCCTGCCTGGCATTCAAATGCCCTTCAAAATCTGGCATCTCCCTACTTTTCCAGCCTTCTATAATACTAATTCACTTCACATACTTTGTGGTCCAGCCAAAACAGACTTACCGTCTTGTCCCCTGGACACCCACATGTTCTTTTACTCATCTTGGCTAACCCTGTGACTGGAATGCTCTTCTACCTTTTTTTGTACCTATTCTTGGCCCAATGAATTCCTTCCCATCTTTTAAAGCCCTACTCAAAAGCCACCTCCTGTGTGAAATCCTCCCTAATCATGATAACAATATACAATTTTGATATATCAATGTTTTCCCTTAGCATTCATATAGCGCTGCTTTGTACCTAACTATAATACATGATAAATATGTTACTTCTGCATGATAAATCACACCACAGTCTGTGTGACATATATGTGTGACAATCCCCTTACTGGTATAAAGTCCAAGATTGCAAGGACCTTATCATAGCCAAACTTTGTTTATCCCCTGGCACCTTCCACAGGATTCTGCATATATTAAGTGCTTAACAGATATTCACTAAACTGAAGTTAGATGCTACAAATTACATTTTCAGATCTTGATCTTTTTGTGAAGCTTCCAACTGTAACCAGCAATGCAAAAATCAGAATAATAATGTAAACTCCTTAGGCTAGCATTCCAAACACTCTATATTCCAGCTCCAACCTACCTTGCAAACCTTCTCTCCCACTGCCTCTCCATAGGGAACTTCTACCTTAACTGGTCAACTCACTAGTCAACTGTCCAAGCTTCCCTGCTGCCTATGCACTTTGATTGACTGCATTGCACCATGTATGTATGTATGTACGTGTGTGTGTGTGTGTGTGTGTGTGTGTGTATCTACATGTGCACAGCTAGAAGGAATCATCTAACACAAACTTACAAATGAGAAAACTGAGATCCAGAGAGGTTAAATATCTTGTCCATGCAAATCCTGGTCATTCAGAGGCACTACCCCATCTCCTGTTGGCCACTCTTCTGTCACAGGCCCCCTGACACCCCTAGTGAGTTCGTCACAAAGGAGACTTGAGTTCTTTACAGGAAGACCTTTTCAAATCTGCCCAGTGGTCTGCCACTGCCCATGGTGCTTTGTGCAGACTTTCTTCCTTAGTCCTATTATCGTGCTGTATACAGTTCAGTACATTTATGAAAAGATAAAATACTGAATCTCTAAGTTCTGGCTCAATGGAAGGAACCAGGTAAGTGTAGAAAGTAAATCAATGGCAAACTCAATATTAAAAGAAATCAGAGAATAGATTAGCACCTAAAAATGGCTCAGCCAAAAATCTGAGTCTTGGACTGGGAAAGACCTTAGTCTAGTTATATCAATGCCTTCATTTTACAAAAGAGAAAACTGAGACTGGCAGGAAGGGGGAAAGGGCGAACAGCACCCAGGAGGAAGTGATTTGATCCTATTCACAAATCTGGTTAGTAGCTGAGCTGGAACTAGAACCCAGATTTCCTGACTCCCAATTCAATATGAGTCTTCTAAACTTTGATGGATAAATTATGGTAGAATAGAAAATATGGATTTCTTAAACAGAAGCCATAAAGCCCAAACATGCTCCATGCCATAGAAATGACCAGTTAGGTTCCTTCTGAGTTAAAATGGAAGTTTTTAGCAGGTGCTTAATGGCTCCTTGGCTCCCATGGGGCAAAAGCACACCTCCTTACCAAGAGAAGGGCACTGCACACTTTTTGCAGCTGTTGGTGAAACATCTGGGAATCAACAAAGCTCATGATTTATTATTCAGGGTTCTCACAGACCCTGAGGAAGACAGGGTGCTTACCAACTGAGGGTCCTGAACCAAGGCAGGTCATATGAGTGGTAGACATTATAGCCAATAGTGATAATCTCATGGAAACATTTAATCTGAACACACATCACCTGCAAGACAGAAGAATTGAGCCATTTACTATAATTGTTTATATTCTGAGCCACTCCCTCCACTCCATCCCATCCCTATAACTTGAGAGAACAAGATATGTGTGTGGGTTGGAGGGGCAAGAGGGAATAAGACTTGTCATACAAACTACTGGCCAAACAGCAAGCAAGACATAACAAAGATCTAACCTGCTCAGACCTACAAACAATACTCCTGTCGTCATTATCCTGATTCCCATTAACATTTCATTTTTCCTCCCCCATAAATCCTGGACACGTATAGGCTTTTTTTAAAACTTGCTTCAAAGACCTGGATCTTTTCACTAGAGATGACAACTCTATAATTCAAACCTAAATCTCTTTCCAGGAGCACTGGAACCCTTATTTAGAGGTGAAACAAGGGCCCTGGGAAGTCAAAAAGGGCTCCAGCTGTGCTGATCTTATCCTTCTTGGTGTGCACACAGGAGGCACTTAATAAATGCTTTCTGAATGTTGGTGGCTGAATTCTGACAGCATGCTCACCTCCAAATCAAATCAGCCCCACAATTATTAAGATGACAGGCCCTATGGAATTCGAGGTCACACTACATTAACATGCAAATGCTACTTACAATCATCATTAAAACCATGGGTCCCAAATAGATGATGATGAAGAAAAAGGCAATCATAGCCAAAGTCAGGATACCTCTCACCCACCAGTTTTTCCATCTAGTTCAAAGAAAATGCAGTTAGGTACACTGAAAGTGCTAAATGTGCATAAGTAGAACCTAGAACCAAACCTTTCTTACATCACTCACCTTTGATGGTATCATACCTATGATTACTGGAAATTAAGCATTTTCTTTATAAGAAAATCTCTTTCCCCCAGGCCAGAAACTCTGGCACACCTTCAGAGAAGTTGGGAACAAAGAACCTTCATTTCATCAAATCAACATTTTGTCCCAAGCACTGAAGGAAACTAAGAATTAAGTTTATGGGGACATCTAGAGCCTCTTGCCAATGTTAAACCCCAGACATATCATATGGTCACAGACTCAAGCCCTGTGACCCAAAATCCTTTTCTCTAAGTCCCAGGACTTGGCTTTTTTCCCATCATCTTTTTGTTTTGTTTTGGTTTTTTTGTATCTCTCTCCCTCAGATGTTCCACAGGAAAGGGAATTCATATTTCTGCTTCTCCCCTTGTCTTGCAGGCTCAGAACCAATTAAAAAAAAACAAAAACTTGAAGGTTTTAGTGATGATAAACATGTAGAAACAGAAGTCTAAAATAACAAAAGGGCAAAGTTACAGAATTACAATAATTCTTAAAAAGTTATTAATGACAGATGGTGGTTTTGGTAAAACATAAATGGAAACAAAATGGATCTTTTGGAGCTTCTTTCAAATGATCTTCTGCTTAGTTTTTGGCCCCCAGAGTCAGCGATGCCCCAAACTTCTCTTTTTAATGACACAGCTGGTCCTCTCAGGTTTTCCCTGCCCCTTTGATAAAGGAGCAGGAGTTCCAACACTGGTCACCACTCCTTCAATCTCACTAGAGGAAGGAAAGAGATATTGAGAACTAGCCTACTGGAACGCAAGGTCCCCAGAAGAATCACTGTGCATCTCAGCATAAATTCCAGTCTTGGTCTCAGTGCCCACCCATCATCCTCCAATGCAGCAAATTTTGAAGGGTTTATAAGAATTGAGAAATACTCTTTTTCTGTTCCCCTTTTGATAGTTCAGGCATGAATGTGATTTTTTAAACTAGGAAGTATTGAACAAGACAAGTGAGGAGATAGTTAAAAAAAAAACAAAACCTTCTAACAGCTCTCAATGAGTTCAAGTGACCAGACCCAAACATACTACCTACCTCTACCGAAAGAACAAGAGGCTATAACTGTTGAGCTGCTACTAGTGATCTCTGAAAACTCGTGGAGAATGGGAAAGGTGATACAGGATAAAAAAGAGAGAAATGTACCAATTTTCAAAAATGAGGAGTAGTCCTCAAACTATACACTTGAGAACTTGACTTTCATGCCTGGCAAAATTCTAGAACAGGTTAGCAAATGGCTGGTTATGAGCACTTAGAAAAGGAAATAAATCATCATCAACAAGAGCCAGTATAGGTTCATTTAAAATAAGTCAAGTCAGACTAAGCTCCTTTCTTTATTTTTCTGTTTTTCTTTTCTTTTTTTTTTTTGGACAGGGTTATTAACTGGTGGATAAGGGGAAAACCAGACAAACAATACCTGAATTTCAAATTGGCATTTTACAGAGTGTTTCACAATAACTTGGAGATAAGATTAAATAAATGTGCAGCAGAGGTTAATACAATTAGGAAAACTTAGAATTTATTGACCAACCATAACCAAAAAAAAAAATTGTGATTCACAGATCCATGTCAATCTGGATCTCTCTAGTAGTGTGTGGCAAGGCCATAAATTCTATTCATAACTTGATCACTACAGAGCTTCTAAATTCAACTATAACAAATTACAATCCTTATTTAACTCAACTTAGTTTGCGCTGAAATTTCTCCAACTGGAAAGAAGAAAAAATATAAGTATGGGACTATGGACAAGAAATAGCCAAACTTCCAAACATGATCAGAGTATACTGGGGGGAGTGGGAGGATGCCCACTCAACTAAGAATAAGGCAGAACAGTTCGCTTACCTGCTCTTTCTCAATACTGTTTTTCCCAATAAACAAATGAATTCAAAAGACACACACACACACACACAAACTCCTTACACTCATTCCCACTTCAGTATCTCTTCTCATGCTGTTCATCCCGCCCCCTCTGCCACACCTTTCTCCAAGCCCTAGCCATTTTCTTCAAAAATCTCTGCCTAAGGATACTGACCAACAATAATATTTTCCATTATCTTTAGACCAACCATAGCATTTATTATCCATTCCACACACTTTGGCAACTGAATGTATACAAACTTAACTCTTGATCACAAACTGTCCAGGATTATTCTTTAATTATTTTCTGTATGATAATCACGACTCTCCAAAAAGATAATCATCAACTTGATCAAACTTGGACCTTTTCATATCTGTATCTCCTACTGGGGTCAGTAAATTAAGCAGATATTAAATGATTCTCAGATACATGAAGATTTGAGTCACCTTGAGGACAGTTTTGACAGTGCCCGGTTGAGGACCTCAGGAGTATCATCAGAAGTGGCTGTTGGTGCAGGTTCAGCTCGGCTCTCGCTGTCTGATGCAGTCTCCCCATCTGTCTTTGTTTCCACCTCAGACTCCTAAACACAGTGAAAATCCGGAATGTTAGGAGAAAGACTGTTGACCTAAGTAACTATAACCTAGATAGATACATGACAGATAGATAGATAGATAGATAGATAGATAGACAGACAGACAGACAGATAGATGTCCAGCTCAGTGAGCAGCTGTGGACCTTGAACAAGTCACTTCAACCACGCTGGGCCTCCCTCAGATTCCACATCAGAAAAATGAGAGATCATCTCTCCAACAGACCGAGATCTTTTCCAACTCAGTATATTTAATTACACAATTCTAAGCATAACTGAAGAACACAAATACTAAGAGAACAGAAATAAAAAAGGGCAAGTGACTCTACTTTGTTGGCAAGTTTGCCTGTCCATCACTGGATGCTGATCTGTGTCCACCTGCCATACAGGGAATTTGGCAAGACTAAAGGCACAGACAATTTCTGTGATTTATATAAAACAAAGTGAGGGTTGGAAACGTAATGCAGACCACTTTATGATCTCACCCTCCTCTTACTATCATACTTATCATAATTCAGGAGGGAACACAAGAAACTAAAGCCAAAAGGAAGGCCACTCACAACAGAGCAGCCTTCTCTGTTCAGGCGGCATGACAGGCACAAAATGAAGCTGGCAGACAGTCGGGAGGATGAAAGGGAGAGAGGTATCATAAGCCTGAAATGAAGTCTGCCAGCTACTTAATTCCAGAGCTGAATTCTTATCATGGCTGAGTCATCCTCTGACTTTGGAAGGAATCCAAAGTTCTTTTTATAAAAGTTTTTTGAATATCAGCATAGCTTAGGTTCCTCAATGAAATGCAGATGAGACTAATCTCAAAGAAGCAAGAGCAACAGATAGTAGGTATTAGTAAGGCTCCTTCAACTGAAAGGAGGTATTTTGGCCATTGGCTCCATCTCTACCAATACTACTGTAAGGAAAGCACTTTGTAAACCTTGGAGTATTACAGAAACATGATCTATATTATTAATATTATCACCCAAAATAAAGTGCTCCCCTATACTCTATATAGAAAAAAAGCATGACATAGTAGAAAAGGCACTGAATTTAGAATCAAGAGACCTGGGTCTGAATCCTTATTCTGACAGTTTAGCTGTGTAAATTTTAGCAATTCTCTTAACCACTCAGTTTCCACATCTGACAACAGAGGAAAATAATACTTGTACTAACTACCTTACAGGGTTATTGTGAAAAAGGCACTTTGTAGACCTTAAAGCATGACTGAAGTTGGAATTATTTCATCATTAAAATGTTTTATACAAACAATTCAGAAAATAAGTGTATTTACTTTGGCCAAGCAAGGAGTCAAACCCTCAAAAAGTTAACCTCAGGAAACCATGACTTAAGACTGTGCTACAATCAGTGTTGCATCTGGGACTGGCTTCACCCTTTCTTCATTCTACCACAGCATCTTCCCACAATGAAGAAACCAAGAAATCAAGTAATTCTTGAGTAGTCTATGAGAAAGGTTAGAAGGAAGCCACACTGACTGCCAAAACAGAAGACCTGAAATTCTTTTGCTCCACAATTTGCTGATGGTAAACTAAAAGTCAGTGATAGAGAAGTGCATTAACATTGGATAGACTTATGGGGTAGAAAAGGGCAAGAAGAGATATTGAGAACAAGAGTCCTATAAAGGTAATCCAAAGGGCTTTAATGTGAAAAGGAAGTGGAGAGGGAACAAATAACCTATATAGTCCCTTCAAGATAGAGAAACATAAAAAATAGCTAAAATTGATAAAGAGTAGGAAGAGATACCCATGGGTTAATAAGGGACAGTATTACGGAAAGGAACCATTAATAAAACCCATGGCCACAGAGAACTTACAGATAATAAACAAGATGAACTCTTCTTAAACTGTGAGTCGTGACCCCATATGGGATACTAGGAATGTTTAAGAAGCACTGGGGGCAGCTAGGTGGCGCAGTGGATAGAGCACTGGCCCTGAAGTCAGGGGGACCTGAGTTCAAATCTGGCCTCAGACCAAACACTTGACACTTACTAGCTGTGTGACCTTGGGCAAGTCACTTAACTCCAATTGCCTAAAAATAAAAAAAAAATTAAAAAAATTAAAAAAAAAAAGAAGCACTAAAGGAGTCACAAGTGGAAGAAGGTAAGAAGCCCTGAACTAGAGGGTCTAACCCAAAGAGGCACATTTGACTTCATAGATACCACTGAGACTTAGCAACATGACTAGAATATTACTCTAGACCAATATACTTTATTCAAAAGAAACAGGATAACTTTTTTTGTTTGTTTTAAAGAAGGGTATAGAAGCCATTCTGAAAAACAATCTGGAATTATGTAAGAAAAGCTACTAAACTTTTCATCTACTTTGACTTCACAACTCCAAGGAGGTCAAAAGAAGACAGGAAAGTGCTATATACACTAAAATATTCATAGTAGTTCCTGTAGTAGCAAAAAACTAGACACAAAGAGGGTGTTCATCAAAGGGGGAATGGCTAAACAAATTATGGTTAATGAATGCGATGGGATACTATTGTGCCATAAGACATGATGAAAGGAAAGGTTTCAAAGAAACCTAGAAAGACTTAAATGAATTGATGAAAGTGAGCGAACAGAACATGGAGAATAATTTATACAATAACAACACTGTGAAAACAAGCAACACTGAAAGCAGTGAGAATTTTCTTTTAAATTTTTTCCCCAGTTACATGTAAAAACAATTGTTAACGTTCATTTTTACAACTTAGAGTTCAAAATTCTCTCTCTTCCTCCCTCCCCACACCACCTCATTGAGAAGGCAAGCATTTCAATATAGGTTATACATATGCAATCACGCAAAACAAATTTCCATATTAGTCATGTTCTGAAAGAAAACAAAAAAACCTCAAGAAAAATAAAGAAAGTAAAAGAAGTTTTTTTCAATCTGCATTCAGACACCATCAGTTGTCTCTCTGAGGAGGGATAGTATTTTTCACCCTAAGTCCTTCAGAGTAGTCTTGGATCATTGTATTGCTGAGAATAGTTACATCATTCATAGCTGATAAATTCATAGCACAATAATGCTGTTATTTTGTACACAGTACATTTCACTTTGCATCAGCTCATATAAGTCTTCCCAGGTTTTTCTAAGAGTATCCTGCTCATCATTTTATAACACAATAGTATTCCATCATAATCACATACCACAAATCAACCACTCCACAACTGATGGACATCCCCTCAACTTCTAATTCTTTACCACCAAAAAAGAGCTATTAATATTTTTGTACATATAGGGAAATTGTAAATGTTGGAGAAGATGTGGGAAAATTGGAACACTAATGCATTGCTGGTAGAGTTGTGAACTGATCCAACCATTCTGGAGAGCAATATGGAACTATGCCCCAAGGGCTATAAAATTGCACATACCCTTTGATCCAGCAATACCACTACTAGATCTATATCCCAAAGAGATAATAAAATAGGGAAAAGGACCCACATGTGCAAAAATATTTATAGCAGTTCTTTTTGTGGTGGCAAAGAATTAGAAATTGAGGGGATGCCCATCAATTGGGGAATGACTGAACAAATCGTGGTATATGAATGGAATGGAATATTATTATACTATAAGAAATGATGAGCAGGCAAATTTCAGAAAAATCTGCAAAGACTTACATGAACTGATGCTGAGTAAAGTGAGCAGAACCAGGAGAACACTGTACACAGTAACAACAACTTTGACAGACTTAGCTCTTCTCAGCAACACAATGATCTAAGATAATTCCAAAAGACTCATGATGGAAAATGCTATCCACATCCAAAGAAAGAACTATGGAGTCTGAATGCAGATCAAAGCACACTATTTTCTCTTTTTCTGTTTTTTTTTCATTTCTCATGGCTTTTCCCTTTTGTTCTGATTCTTCTTTCACAATGTAACTAATGTGGAAATATGTTTAACATGATTGTACATGTATAGCCTATATCAGATTGCATGCTGTCTTGGGGAGAGGGGAAGGATGGAAGGAGAAAAGAAATTTGGAACTCAAAATCTTATAAATGTGAATGTTGAAAACAATCTTTACATGTAATTGGAAAAAATAAAATACTATTAAGTGGGGGAAAATGAGTTGGAGAAGGGGAAAAAAGTGCAATTAGATGCCCCTGATGAGTTTAGATCACCTGACCCATATGATCTAGTAAACTGAAAAAACTGGCAAATGTAATTGCTGAGCTGTCTGTGATCTCTGAAAGATCCTGGACAATGACAGAAATACTACAAGATTGTAGAAGGACAAATGTCCCAATTTTTTAAAAAGAAAAGTGAATGGAGCATGCAAACTATAGGCCAGTGATCTAGTATTCGATTCCTGGCAAAATTCTAGAATAAATTATTAACAGGATGGTTGAACAACTAGAAAAGAAAGTTATAATCACAAAGTGCAACATACCAGAACAACTTTATTTTACTTTCTGACAGAGGTTACTAAACCTATATATCAAGAGGACAGGAATGAAAAAGACAACTAGTAGGAATAACCCAAAAGCTAGAGATAAACTGGGAAAGAATGATTGAAAAACTCAAGGGTAGAAAGTTCAATGTTGAAATGAATGACCTTAAGGTCAAAACTCTGAACTGGTAGCTGCCAAGCCAGAGAGTAATGGACTGGGAGAAAAGGAAAAGATCAAGGCCACAAAAAGGATGAGATGAACAGTTTCAGGAGGAGTTGGGGAATAGGAAAGGTACAAGAACAGAATATTACAGTTGGAGAGTAGATCTTGGAGTTTTTCATTTAGAAAAAGTAAGGTCTAAAGTGTGGCCATTCTGGTGAGCAGTTGAGTAGAGATAAAAGTGGAGGCAAGTGTAAGGCTATCAATCAATGTAAATAGTAATGTCAATAAAGATGACAGTAGGAGATGGGAAAAGTGGGAAGATTATAAACTGGATGCTGAAGTCACTGAAGAAGGGGAAGAATCTTAGATATCAGTGTATTAAAAAATGGGGTGGTATGGAATTTAAGAGAATAGAACCTACTGAATGATGATGATGGCTCACCATATTACGAGTGGGGGGAGGGAGAGACCAGAGGGTAACCAATCCTGAACTAAGCTGTAAGGGATGCTGACCTAAGGGCCAAGCCAAATTTCAGTTAATTCAATGAGGCAGAAGGTGTCTAAGAGAAACTGGGTACTCAGGGAAAATTTGTTTATAACAGAAAAGGGCACTACAGGATAAGGTAAAAGAAGCTAGCTAACCACAGAAGAGGATAAGAACCACAGTCTGCATTAATTAATAATAACCAAGGCGGTATGAAATAGCGTTAAAGTCAGAAAAACTTGGGCTCCAGTGCTGCCTCAGATAGATAAGGGCCCTGTGACCCTAGGCAAGATACTTCACCTCTCACTACTCTGGGCAACACTAGAGTATAAAAAAAAGCAGGTGGTAAAAGGAGTTTCTGGGCAGCTAGGTGGCGCAGTGAATAGAGCACTGGCCCTGAAATCAGGAGAACCTGAGTTCAAAGCCAGCCTCAGACCAAACACTTGACACTTACTAGCTGTGTGACCCTGGGCAAGTCACTTAACCCCAACTGCTTTAAAAAAAAAGTTTCCTCACTTGGGAAGGTCTCTATGTCAATGAAATCCTAAGTGTAGTCTCTATCTTATGCTAAATAATAGTTGTAAGATAGGTGATATTATTGTCAACATTTTGCAAATGAAGAAACTGAGACTGAAAGAGATTAATACTTTAATTGGTTTCCCCAGGGTCAAACAGCTATTAAGTGTCTAAGATTCAAACCTAGGTCTTCCAGACTCCAATCCAGCACATTTTCCTCCATGGAGTGCTACCTCTTGATAATAACTAACTTTTATAGCATGCTTTACATACACTACTTTATTTGAGCATCAGAATAACTCTGTAAGGTAGAGACAGATATTGTTCTAGGTCTAGTATGGGAGACAAGTACACAATGCTAATAAAAATAAAAAGAAATAAAGCTTCTAATCATGCAATGTATCACAATAATAATTCCCATTTCTATAGTATAAGGTCCTGGCACAACAGTATAATGGGAAGGGCCTTCAGATGTGAAGTTAGAAAGAGCTGGGTTCATGTTCCACCTTGGCAGGTCACTTCTTCTATATGGGTTTCGGTTTCTTCATCTGTAAAACAGTACTATTTGATCCCTAAGATTCCTTCCCTTCCAACTCAATAAAATTATGTTTCTACATGTACCCCTGGGCAAGTATGTTAATGTCTCTTGGCCTCCTTTTCCTCACCTTTAAAAGGAGGGAGATAGCACAATTGAACTAGACAATCTCTAAGGTCACTTCCAGATGGAAATCTGGATCCTATTATCCTACAATCTCTGTTTTGCAGCTGATGGAATGGAGGCTCACAGAGATCAGTGACTTGTCTAGGGTCATACAAGTGGCAATCAGGATTTGAACCCAAATCTCTCCTGACTGAGTCCAGTGCTAGGTCCACACTATACTATGGATTATGTGTATTCACATTGTTCAGCAATTGTTTCATGTGTTTCTCTGCTCTCCACAACCAGACTTCAAGTTCCCAGAATCAATCCGTATGTCAGAATTCTTCACTACCTACTATAATGCTTAGAACAGCAAGAACTCAATAAATATTTGATGAATTGAATAGACACAGATAACAGTAGGGATTGGGGGAATAATAGGTCAAATTCCTTATGCTAGATTACACAGCAAAGACTGTAACAGGAAAATCTATTGTTTGGTGCATTAACCAGGCTGCAAGTGAACCCTTTGTCACTGAAAACTTTGTCTCAGCTCCAGTCCTGCTGTTTGCTATTTGCCTTTCCCCAGCATGCCAGATAACCAGGAGATACAAATATCCCATGACCCTGGGAAGTAAACAGATGAGGATTCCTAATCCCCTAACCTCAACATATTTATCAGAACTATATACAAAAATTAAAAGAAGCTATTTTGCCCCAGTGTTCACTGTAAATTTTGAGTCAAGCATAGAAGTTCAAGAGCTCATTATACTCCATATAGTTTGCATCTCCGCAAAATTTGGAATAAGAAAGAGCTACAGGCCCAGACAACTCTTGTAATAGCAAGAGGAAGGAGGGGCTAGGCAAGTGAAGGTGTGAGACACAGTAGGCTAGAGGAGGGCTCCTCTGCAAACTTTTGCTTAGAAACCCAATTTGTATGCACAGCACTAAAAAAACTTTTCACTTCGCAAACTGACACTTTAATCCACCCCTGGAAGTCAAAAAGAGAACAACAGGGCCTCAGTTGTTCCCACAAAGGGGAGAATAATTCCTTCACATATTTGCCTTTCACACTTCTATAATGTAATGGGCATAGCCTTAGCCAGTAAAATCCTATGGAAAAGAACATGAACTGGGAGTCAGGAAACCTGGATTGGAGTGCTGGCCCTGGCCCTAACTAGCTAATTGACCTTGCTTAGCCTCGACTGCATCTATAAAACTTGCAGAGCCAACTTAATGTCACTGGACCTCTCCATTCCTGCATATCTGAAATGGGGATGGTAATGCCTTCCCTTACCCATCATCAGATGATAGTTAGACAAATGCCTTGAAGGCAAAAACAAAACAAAACAAAGACAAAAACTAGGATCTGGGAGGGATTTTAGGGCTCAGCTAGTCCAACTCATACCCAAATTGAAATACCCCTCTACAAAAACTCCCCAAAAGTAGTCATCCAGCCTCTTGAAGATTTCAAGTGGTGGGATACCTTCCACCACCAAAGCAGGTCATTCCACTTTTGAAGAGTTCTAATTGTTAGGAAACTTTTCTTTATATTGAGCTGACAACAATTTCTCTTTAACTTACTAGCTGAGTGACTCTGGGCAAATCGGACAATGTCTCTGATCTGATGTCTTCACCCTATAAAATGAAGAAAATTTTAATAATTAGAACAGATAGTCAGTCTATGACCTAATTACTTTCACATTCATCACTACAACTGATCTTCAAAACCCTGAGAACAAAGAAGGAAAGATATTAAACTCACTTTACAGGATAAAGCGACTAGCTCAGGGAACTTAGTTGCTTGCCCTGCATTACACAACCAGTGAGTGGGAAAACTAGAACTTCACCTTCTTGCTCCCAGCTCTCCTCTCTGCATTCAAGAACAATTTTCATTCCTCTTCCATAGGACAGTCCTTCCAACTCTTGAAGAAAGCTATGCTTTTCCCCATAACTCTCCTCCTCTCCAGGCTAAACGTTCCTAGAACCTTTAACTGCTTGACATAGGGCACCACTTCTGGTCTCCCCGTTCCTGGCTGTCCTCCTCTGAACAGGTTCCAACTTGGTGGGGTCCTTCTATGCTGTGGAAGGCAGTTTAGCACACCTGAAAGGGATCTGGGGAATCACCTTCACTTCAAAGCTCCATGAGACAACAGAGTGATACACCATCAAAAAGGTGAATGCTTATTTAAAGGCTATCTTGAAGAGGCATAGTGTCCAGGACTTAGGAAGTATTCATTCCACTGTACTCTGACCGTTCAAGCGACATGTAGAATACTATGTTCAATTCTGAGTACCCCACTTTTAGGAAGAACACTGATAATCTAGAGGGACAACTGATTAAGGGCCTCAAGTTCATGCCATATGAGAGCCGGTTGAAGAAACTGGAGGCATTCAGTCTAAAAAAAAGAAAAAAAAAGACAAAAAAAGGTTTGCAGATGGTAGAGGAAGAGACATAGAGGTCTCCAACTATTGAAAGGCCTGTTACTTGGAAAAGTATTAAATTTAGTCTGGCTGGCCCAACCAGCTAGAATTAGCAACAGGAAGTTACAGAAAGATACATCTGGGCTCTCTGAAAGCAGTACACCTTCTAAGGATTAGAGATGTCAAACAGACAGAATGGGCTGCCCCCAGAAATGCATTCCCCCTCAGTGAAGGTCTTCTAGTCAGTTGGCTAGTTGAAAGGCATGGGGCATTGGAGAGGGAACGCTTATCCAGGTATGAGTTGGAACTATATGGTTTCCAAGAGTCTTTTCAAGTCTGACATTTTGTAAGGTTGAGTAGTAAGATGCCAGGAACACTAGCTCTGAAACCAGGCCTGGGTTCAAATCCCACCTGTGATGTTAGGAAACAAGTCATTTCACTTCCCTAGGCCTCAGTTGAGGTAGACGGACTAGAATACCCTCTCAGGTCCCTTCGAGCTCTAGATGTATCATCCTATGATCCCATAATGCTCAGATTTCCAACATTCCAGATGTAGTCTTGACCAGGGCAGAAGGCAATTCAAATCAATTGGCTTTCATTAATCTCCAACTACATACCCAACCCATGCTAAACCCTGTGCTGAATATGAAAGTGGTACATGGCCTAGTTTCTTTCCCCAATAGCCTCACCAATCTAATCTAGTAATCTAACAGTGAAAGAAGACTAAAATATGAATAAAGTCACAGGGCAAGACAGCATGACCTGTGCTGGCACCAGGAGGAAAACAGTGACTGCGATGAGTAGTTAATACGGATTGTCTCAAAAGTCTTAGTCAGTTTTAAGTGTTAAACTTAAGACTTTGGGGACATCATGTATATGAACCAGAGATAAGGGTAGGGACAGATTTTGCAGGGCCTAGAAAGTCAAACTAAGGAACCTGGACTACCAGACTATAAATTCTTTAACAGCAAAGACAACAATGCCTCATTTGTCTTCAGGCCTCCTTCAAGACTTTACATCAGTGCTTTGCACAGAAAAGACATTTAACTGTTTGCTAAACTGAAGTGACTTGATTTGGTAGACGATGATGATATTACTTTTCATTTGTAGAGCATTTTACAGTTTACAAAATGCTTTCACACACATTCTCTCCTTTGGTCCTTACAGCAAATACAGTCATATTGCACTGGAGAGAGAGCACTAGGCTGATTCTGAATCTCACCTCAGACACATTATGTCACCCTAGGCAAGTAACTTCATCTCTCTCAGCCCCAGTTTCCCCACTTATAAAATGACGATAACAGCACTTGCTTCCAAGGGTATTGCGAAGATCAAATGAGATAATTTATGCAGAGTACTTTGCAAGTCTTAAAGCTTAAATGTCATTTATTATTACAACTATTATTACCCTCATTTTACAGAAGAAACATACTGCAAGGTGAAGTGATTTGTCACAAAACTTAAGTGAGCAGCCAAGTTAATGTTCTAAATCTCCAAATCCAATATTCTTTCCACTACATTAGAGTCACTATGAGCTCTTAAGACTGGAAATAAAAATAGCCAGTTCTGTGTTTTAGGAAGACTAAACTGACTTTATATGTTGCAGAAGCAAGATCACCTAGAAAGCAAATCTAGAGGCAAGGATAAGGGGAGTGGGAGTGGGAAAGTACTGAATCAAGTTCCAAATCTAGAGAACCTCTCTTGACAATGGTGGTAGCAGTAAATAGAAATGAGGAAGTTTGGGAGAGGAGGAAGTTACTTGGAAGATTTGTGCCTTTTAGAACACATTGAGTTTGCAGTGACAGCAAGCCATTCAAATGGCAATAAGGGCAATGAGAAATCACAGAGATGCTGGAAAGAATATTAGATCTGGAATCAGAAGACTTGGGTTCAAATTTTGTCTCTGTCACTTGCTACCCTAAATGACCTTGGGGGCAAGTCATTTCATTTCTTTGGGTCTCAGTTTCCTTGTATGCAAACTGGATGAATTGAATCTCTCACACCATATGCCAGGCTCCAAATGGATAAATGCCTTAGATATAAAAAGTCGCAATATAAACAAATTAGGAGCAAAGAAGGAAATATCTTTCCCCACTATGGATAGGGCAAGAGTTCATGACTAAATAATGAACAAAGATTATCACAGAAGACAAAATGGACACTTTTAAATGTATAAAATTTAAAAGTTTTTGCACAAACAAAACTAATGTAGTTAAAATTAAAATGGCAACAGTTAAATGGTAAAAAAAAATATTTGCAGGAAATTTCTCTGATAAAGGTCTCATATCCTTTATATAAGGAACAGATTCAAATTTTTAAGATCAAGAGTCATTCCCCAACACAATCATATCAAAAGATATGAAGAGACATTCTCAAAGAAAGAATTCCAAGCTAACAACAGCCATACAAAAACAACTCTAATGTTCTACTTCACACCATAACCATCATATAATTAAAAAAAAAAGAAAATGACAGTTGTTGCAGGGGTTAGGAGAAAGTCGGTACACTAATGTTAGCAGAACTATAAACTGGTTCAACCATTCCCAAAAGTAATTTGGAACTATGCCCAAAAAGTCACTAAACTATCTTTAACCCAAAAAGGCCACTACTAAGAGCATATACTCCCAAGAAATCAAAGAAAAAGGGAAAAGACCCAGAGGTACAAAAATATTTATAGCAACTCTATTTGTTGTAGTAAAGAACTAGAAACTAAAGGAGTGTCCATCAGTTGGGGAAAAGTTGAACAAATTATGGTATATGAACGTCATAGATTATTATTATGCCCTAAGAAATGAAAAATGAGATAGTATCAGAGAAAGCTGGGAAGAGCTGTATGAACTAATACAGATAAAGTGAGTAGAATCAGAACAATTTATACAATAACAATTTTTTCCTGAAAAAATGAAAGGGTTTGGGATTGTTTCTAGGGTCCCTTCCAGCTCTAAATCTATGATCCTATGCAGATTTGCATTGAGATGATAGTTGCAGTCATAAGAATGGATGACTGTCAAGAGGGAGAGTATGGCAAAAGAGCATCAGGCCAAGTTTCAGCAAGCAAAATGAAAAAGCTCAAGCAGTCAGAAGTATTATTGTTTCTTCATTAGAACACAGCAGACTAACAAATCTGGGAGGGTCTTATAATTTCTGCTTTATTAAGGATGACTAAGTATTGACTCATTATTCTCAAATAATGGGGCCACACAATTTATATACCGAAGGGAAAGCACACTCTTTTCCATGGTGAAATACATATTCCATTCTATCTGGAAAAAAAAGTTTAACTGGACTGGGAGTCTCAGGAAACGATCTTTTTTTAAACCTTCGTAGTTAGCCACTGTCAGTAATATACTGTAACTATGCCAAACAATTAACCATTCAAAATCGATATCTAAATTTCACAGAGCTTTGGGCGGCAAAGAAGCAAACATTACACTTGTCAGTCTGACATCAGTGGGTTCATCACAGCAAAACTTCTCAATACTCTAGCACAGAGGTTACGTCAAAATACTGCTGAGTTGGGTAAGCTCCTTCATCTATTCCTTCACCTTGGAGTAATAATAAAAGCAGTTGACATTTATATCACTTAATCAACAAGCATTATTAAGCACCTATGCTAAATGATGGGGATACAAAGACTAAAATGAAATAATTCCTGCCATCAATAGTTTACATAGCACTTTTTACAGTTTACAAAATGACATTTGATTCTCATAACCCTACGAGGCATAAAGTATTAAAATTAGGGCTCCCATTTTACAGATGAAGAAATTGAGGCCCAGAAAGGGTGAGTATCAGAATTGAGACTTGCGCCTAGGCCTTTTGGTACCAGCTTCAATGCTCTTTTTCCACTAGGACATTTTGCCTCTCAAAGTAGGCTTCCTTACAGCAGCAACCTTGTTTCCCCACCAGAAACTGTAGAAGCTGCACAGAGAAAAAAATGAACTAGCACAGTTATTTTTAACTTTCCATCCTGTTGTCAAAGAAACTCACTCATGCTGTTTCCAAAAGAGGATGAAGGGTCAGGGCGTAACAATGCAGGATTAAAGGTCGTATCATACTTCTGGAAGGCTGCCAGATGATTCAGTATTTACTCAGGATTCTCTCCCTGTGCCTCTGAATGCTCTAGTTGCCTTCTTCTAAACTTCAAAAATCCATATTGTTCAGTGTAAACCCTGGCTACTATGCCTCCACCACTAATATCTCCTGCCTCATTTGTAACCAAATGTCTCTTTCCTTTCTCCTTCTTCCTCCAGATTAGGAAGGGGCTGAGAGGAATAAGATGATTTCTGATAGAAAAAAATGTGACCTTCTTCTACATTAAATAAAAGCACAGTCTCCAGAACAAGAATATTGCTCTCTGCTCTTGTAAGACCATATCTGGAATACTTTGTCCATGACTGGGCAACTTGTTATAGAAAGGACACTAATAATTTGGAGCACATCCTGCCAGGTATGAGAGTGGGACAATGAGGGGACTTGAAATGACGCTATAGAAGAATCAGTTAAAAGAAATAGGGATGCTTACCTTTGAGAAAATAAGGGGAGGTAGGGAAAGGATTATAACCATTTTCAAATATCTGAAGGGCTGTCATGAGGAAAAGACAATGTTTATTTTGCTTGGTCCCAAGGGGCAGAACTAGGAGCAACTGGGAAGTTA